GTGTTGGGAATGCACTGTGACCTCTCGCCAGCTACCTTGGGGAGGGGGTGACGGGGATGGAGGTGTGGTGAGAATGCAGGGTGTCCACCAAGCTCGCTCTCACTCCCCCTATTATCCTCCCCCAGGATGCCAGGGCTTGCAGTAGGGGAAGCCCCCACACACTCAGGTGCCGGGTCCCCGTGAGGAGCCCGACCTGCACCCATGCGGCATCTTCTAGGTGTGCTGGGCCGCAGCTGCCGGGACTGCAGGGGCCGGTCGGGCTCCCCGTGGGTTCGTGCAGGAGCCAGTCTGCAAGGCCAGCAGGGAGAGAATGCGCTTCCCGCCTAGCTTTCATGTGGCACCATAGGGTGGCCCAGAGGCCCACACTGTGCCCCGGCCCACGGCGTCCAGCCGCACTTACCGCATCTTCACGTGGGGACTCAGGCGTAAGGGAGCACATGGGGGCCCGGGGGCCCAGAGGTCAGCTGGGACCTGCCCTTCCACACCAGACACTCGCACTTCAATCACTGGCCAGGCCTAGAAACCGTGCCCGTGCACAAATTTCATGCACCGGGCCCCTTTTATATTATATATAAAAGCCTAATATGCAAAGTGTCCCCTCAAACGACCGGGAGTTCTATCACTCGCTATGATGTGCGCTGACCACCAGGGGGCAGCGCGGAATGAAGGAAGGCCCCAGCCAGCAGCTGGCAGCCACTAGGGACCCTACCTTTGCAAGAAATTCATGAACTGGGCCTCTAGTTAAACAATATTTTCCATTCACCTCTCCCCTTAACCCAGCGGTTCTCAACCTGTGGGTCACCAACCTGTGGGTCGCAACCCCTTTGGGGGTCAAACGACCCTTTCACAGGGGTCGCCTAAGGCCATTGGAAAACACATATATAATTACATATTGTTTTTGTGATTAATCACTATGCTTTAATTATGTTCAATTTTTAACAATGAAAATATATCCTGCATATCAGATATTTACATTACGATTCATAACAGTAGCTAAATTACAGGTATGAAGTAGCAACGAAAATAATTTTATGGTTGGGGGTCACCACAACATGAGGAACTGTATGAAAGAGTCGCGGCATTAGAAAGGTTGAGAACCACTGCCTTAACCCATGGCAAATAGCATCCTGCTTTCTATCTCTATGAATCTATTTGGGTACCTGAAATAAGTGGAATCACAGAGTATTTGTCCTTTTGCGATTAGCTTATTTCATTTAGCATAATGTCCTCAAGGTTCACGTATATCGTACTATGTGTAAGAATTTCCTTCCTTTTTAAGGCTCAATAATATTAAATTGTGTATGTACCACATTCTGTTTATTCATTCAGCCATCAATAGACACTGGTGGGTTTTGATCTTTTGGCTATTGCAAATAATGCAGCTATGAACAGATGTACAAATATCTGCTTGTACATGTGTGTATGACCAGAAGTGAAACTGCTGGATCAAATAATAACTCTATGTTTAAATTTCTGAGGAACAGTCACACTGCTTTCTTTTCCCAGCTGTTATGCCATTTTACATTCCCACCAGCAATGCACAAAAATCCCAACTTTTACACATTCACACCAACACCTATTAACTGGTTTCTGGTTTGTTTTTTGTTTGATAATAGAGATTTTAATTGCTGTGAAGTGGTATGTTTTTGTGGCTTCTATTTACATTTCAATAATGCTTAGTGATATTGAGCATCTTTCCATGTGCTTATTGACCATTTGTATATCTTCCTTGGAAAAATGTCTATGCAAGTTCCTCTGCCCATTTTTGGATTGAATTATTTGTATTTTTGCTGTTGAGTTTTAGGAATTCTTTATATATTCTGGATATTGATTAAGTTGCTACTTAAATTGATACCTAAAATACAATAAGTGAATTATAGGTTAAATTATCTTAGTGGCCCATTTAATACTAAAAGCAGTCTGAAAATAAAATCCTTTCAAATATCAATTCCAAAATCAAATTATTTTAAAATCAGCAGTCTTTCCTCAAAGTTCACATGGATAATAAAAAATGTTTTAAAAATTAATTATTGATAACAACACTAACAAGTAACCAAAATTCACATGATGCATATGGAATATTTGACAATATCTACACTTGTCAGTGTTTCAGAGTCATCACAATGCACACTTTTGGGCAATACCATTCATATCCAATCTACATAAATGCTATGCCATGGAGCACAGGGGAACACCCTTGTACATATAGACTACCCTATAAGTGGTGGTCCCTGGAGTTGTGCAATACTGAAACCTTATGGCATTCAAGCAGTAAAAGATGTATGTTTAATTTTTAAAGTTAAAAATGGCAAAGAAAATAATAAAAGTGAGTGCACCTTTGGAATTCAATTCAATGACTCCATAAGTTCTCAATTGACTTACTCATTCTTATCTAATTAAAGTATTCATTGCAATTCTTCTACAGTAGTTTTCCTACTTAAGTAGATAGAACTACTGTCATTATCTCCCAGCATCCAATCTTCCTTCTTCTGATAACACCTCAGTTTCTCATTGGGCAACTACCACTCCCCATTCACAGTGCCTGAGTTTCAGGTAGTTCTTGGGATAAGCACAGGAACTGAATCTGGCAATCAAATTCATAGTGATTAAGTCAAGGAAAGACATGGAGCACAAAATAAGATAGTAAGATTCAGTTCAACAATTTTTGCTGGTTTTTTTAGGAAAGAGGTGTTTTTATAATTGCTAAGCTACTGGTAACCACCTCTGCCATCTCTCATAAGAAGAGCTAATCAAAGAATGAAGCTTACACACACACACACACACACACACACACACACACACAGCAGAGCACAGAGACAAATTTAAGGCTGCCCTGTGACAGCATTTGAAGTCCTGGATACAATGTCTTAAACATAGGTACTCTCCAAATTTCTCGTGCATGAGCCAATAAACTTTATTTTTCACTTAGCTTTTTTGGGCTTTCTGTCATTCATGGCTTCACATACAATTAGTTTTATCCCCCTATACTTTAAAAATAATAAAACCCACAAAATTTTCTCACAATTCTGGAGGCCATAAATCTGAAATCAGTTGCACTAGGTTGAATCAAGGTGTGGGCACAGTCACAGTCCCTCTGGAGGTTCTAATAGATAATCTAGATGAAGCTACTGGTGGTTGCCAGCATTCCGTGGCTTAGGGCTATGTCACTCCTATTTCTGCCTCAGTAGCCACTTTGCCTTCTCTTCTCCTGTAAATATAAAATGTCCCTCTGCCTCTCTTTACAAGGATGTTTGTGATTACATTTAGGGGCTACCCAATAAGCTACACTAATAAAAGACAAACATGCAAACTGGCCATACCTATGCTATGCCTTAAGCCACGCCCACCAGCCAATCAGAGTGACTATATGCAAATTAACCCAACCAAGATGGCGGCTGGCGGCCACAGAGCTGGAGCAAGCAGGAGACTTGGTTGCCCCAATGATGGAGGAAGCCAAGCTTCCCGCCTGCTGCGGCTGGCTCTGAGCTCCACTCAAAGCAACAAAGTTTCAGTTATAGAAGATAAATAAACCCCAGATACCTGATTTCAGCCAGCCGTGGCCACGGAGCTGGAGCGAGCAGGAGGCGTGGGTTGCCCCTGGCGATGGAGGAAGCCAAGCTTCCCTCCCGCCCGCCCTGGCTGGCTCTGAGCTCCTCACAAGGCTACAAAGTTTCAATTATAGAAGGTAAATAAATCCCAGAATAAACAAAGAAAAAAGAAAAGGAGAGGTTGGGAGCTTCTATCGCTGGGGGGCTTGGCAAGCCTGAAAATGGCCCTCAGCCCCTCACCCAGACTGGCCAGACACCCCAGTGGGGACCCCCCCACCCCAAAAGGGGTGTGGCCAGCCTGCAAACAGCCATCAGCCCCTCACCCAGGCTGGCCAGGCACCCCTGTGAGGACCCCCACCCTGAAGGGGGTGTGACCAGCTGCAAATAGCCATCAGCCTCTCACCCAAGCTGACCAGGCACCCCAGTGGGGACCCCCACCCTGAAGGGGGTGTGGCCAGTCTGAAAACGACCCTCAACCCCTCACCCAGGCTGGCCAGGCACCCCAGCGGGACCCCCACCCTGATCCGGGACACCCTTCAGGGCAAACCACCCGGCCCGCACCCATGCACCAGGCCTCTATCCTATATAGTAAAAGGGTAATATGCAAATTGACCCTAACAGCAGAACGACTGGGAATCACTGGTCACTATACACACAATGACCACCAGGGGGCAGACGCTCAATGCAGGAGCTGCCCCCTGGTGGTCAGTGCACTCCCACAGGGGGAGCTCTGCTCAGCCACAAGCCAGGCTGATGGCTGCCAGTACAGCGGTGGTGGTGGGAGCCGCTCCCGCCTCCTCAGCAGCACTAAGGATGTCAGACTGCAGCTTAGGCCTGCTCCCCGCTGGCAAGTGGACATCCCCCAAGGGCTGCCAGGGTGCCAGAGGGATGTCTAACTGCCAGCTTGGGCCCGATCCCCCCAGGGAGCAGGCCTAAGCAAGGTGGTGGCCATCCTCTGAGGTTTCCCAGCCTGCAAGAGGGCATAGGCCGGGCTGAGGAACTCCCCCGAGTGCACAAATTTTTGTACACTGGGCCTCTAGTATATAATAAAAGCCTAATATGCGAATCAACCAAATGGCAGAACAACCGGTTGCTATGACGCATACTGACCACCAGGGGGAAGACACTCGACGCAGGAGCTGCCCCCAGCCCACAGGCCCCAGGCCAGCCAAGTCAGGTGCCAGTCCGCCCCCCCCATCACCCCACCGGTCGCCCCACAGATTGGTCCTGATCCCCTGCCAGGCCTAGGGACCCTACCCATGCATGAATTTCATGTATGGGGCCTTTAGTTTAAAATAAAGAAGGGAATGTTAAGACTACAGCAAGAAAATGTCTGGTAAGTAACTCCTTAAGAAGTGATTCACTTTAACTCAATTTAAATAGTATTCTTTGAAACCGAAGAGTTATCATGACAATCCATTTCATTACAAATGTTAAAATATAAAATTTTACCTCCAGATCCTAACTGCTTGTAAAATCTATATTCCAAATGTAGCTGTGGTGCTCTGGATTTCATGGGTTCCTAATTAAAAAACAAACAACAACAAGTTATTAAAAGATCATTAGGCCCCAATTCCAAATGTTATTAATCTTGGTGTCAACTCTTAGATAATTAATATTTTAGTAGGCATCTTTGTCTCTCTAAGGTTAGATCAACTGTACATGTATTTCAATGTAAAATTAATGTCAAAAACGTACATAAGATTACGTGGCTACTAGTTCAATCACTAGGGAAATTTATGTTTGACTCTTTGACCCTGAAGAAAAGTATATACCAAACATTCATGACTAGGGGAATGGTGACCCTTACTCTATTTCAGCGGTTCTCAACCTGTGGGTCACGACCCCTTTGGGGATCAAACGACCCTTTCACAGGGGTTGCCTAAGACCATCAGAAAACACATATATAATTACATACTGTTTTTATGATTAATCACTATGCTTTAATTATGTTCAATTTGTAACAATGAAATTGGGAGTCACCACAACATGAGGAACTGTATTAAAGGGTCACGGCATTAGGAAGGTTGAGAACCACTGCTCTATTTCTTTTGTTTCTAGGAATTCATCTTGAACTGTGTATTTCTTATGTAAAAGTTCTAGGTTAAAGTGAAATCACAGAAAATAGGAAAGAACAAATATGAAGATAAATTTTTGACAGTAACAACAATGTATTTTTTAAATTTTTTACTTGGGATAAAGCTTAAATAAAACACACAGTCATAAGCATTAGGTCCATGAGCTTTATTAACTGCATATACCCCAGCAACTAGCACCTCAAAAAATCTTTAGAACATTTTATCATCCTTCCCTCCAAGTAATCACTTTTTGACTTCTATCACCTTTGGGTTGGTTTTGTCTGTTATTGTATTAATATTAAAGATAGTACACAGTATATGTTTTACATGTGTTTAGTAAACTAAATACCAAACTATGATGTGGTATTTGCAGATTTTTAATATTTCCTACAACTTTTGTGATATTATACTATGTTAATACAGTTTTGGTAATATTATTATATTTAAAATCTTTTTTCTTGAAATATTGTTTATTGCATGTAACATTAAAATTGTTTTTTTTTTGAACTATTTTTTAAAAGAGATTAAAAAAAATTTCTATCCTGTCAATATATTTTTGAATTTGAGGTGAACATGTCTCCATACTATACTTCAACCTCAGAATACCAAACATAGCTACAAAAATATTCCCAGTTCCTCTAAAGAACACTGCATAACCAAAATTATTATATGTCATACTCTGATCACTGTTTAAAAAGGTAAACAGAAGAAGAATGTAAAAGAAAAAGTAAGAAAAATAATTAAGGGGATAGTAACATAGTAGGAAGATTCACTAAAAAGATGACATGTGTGTATATATAAAGAAGGACAAAAGATGACATAATAAATGTTTACTAATAAATCAATGGTGTCAAGAGGGTAAAAAGGTCCCAAATCTGAAATAACAGGACCTAACGGATACCACTTTATGACTAAAATAGACTAGGAAACGTCAGCCTAGTGCAGTGGCTCCTGTTTTGACACAATGGTTTATTTCCCTTAGCATATCAGTTAAATATCATTCACAAGCTTCCTTGAGTGGACCTGCTCACTACAGGCTGCTGCATCATTAACACAGCATATGGATGTTACCACACTTCTATTCTTGTGCACCACCCCCACTCCCAACACCATACAATGTTTACACCCTAGACCACTGGAATAGAACATGGAAAAAGAATCCCAAAGAAACAAAAGTCAGCAATGCCGATTCAAACACTGTCCAGTCCCTGCATCCTGTATCTCCTTATTGTGATTCATACACACTAACTCCTCCTGTACAGATTTCATGATCAGGAGGGAAGCTTGTCATTTTAACTTGGCTTTCTATGCAATCGGTCTATAGAAAGTAAACATTATTTATACTGATTTGGGCATTCTGAACCTGTAATAGTAAAATACTTCATTATAAAATTAGAAATTAACTCTTCTTAAATATTTCTGAGAGCTTGATTGATTGCATGAATTTATTAAATCTACCTCTGATTAACAGTGACGATGGTAAAGAGATGACCTAACCAGATTTTCCAACATAAAGCCAAGGACCAGACCTTAAAACCAAGGTGAACCCCTCCAGGTAAATGCCAGTCCAAACTCACAAGTCAGCCAGCCAGTCTTAGAAGTACCACACCCTACCATACATCTTATTTCCCAGTGAAAATAAACATTTGTTGCAATGAAACTTGGCCTATACTCACAAACACACTTTAAGTACAGTTTTCTAGCTCATCCCAAAAGATTTTCTATTTCCCCCCACTTACCTCTTCTCTAATCATCATCTTACATTACCTTAATACAGTGGTTATATTGGCAAGCACAAGATTGAGAATGGCAGGCAGACTGGAAAAACCCAGGCATGGAAACATGGCTGGCAAACCAGATAGAATAGCTGTGCCAAAGAAAAGTTATGTCTTATAAAAACTCCCAGATCCCAACTCTTCCAAAAAAAAGAGATGCCTTACAGCTGTCAAACTGGGCACATTTAGGAATTCAGAACAGTTCCATGGGAGTTTGCTTTCCTTGCTGTTTTCCACCCACATCAAGAATTTCTGAATCCCCAAAAGTCAAGCAATAGCCAGCTTTACCATATATAAAATATCAATAGAAGAAGAGATTTTAAAGCTACCTGGAAATACTTTCATAGATTATAATCCTAAATATTAAGAAAACTTTTGTTCAAATACTTGAATCAGAAAGAGAAATCTTGCTTTCTAATTTTGATCTAAATAAAATGTCAATATGCCAGCTTCCTTAACTGAAAAATAGTGCCGAAATTCAAAAATTCAATTCTGTGATGTTACCAAAGTAGAGGGATTGAGTTTCCATGGCACAGAAAGATAGAGACATCCTATACATTGCTATATACTTAAACACTCAAGTTATAAATATGAAAATAAAAAAGTAACTAAAATATTAAGTTAATCATTAAAGAAATAGGAATTAAGGAAAAATAAGACACATGAACTTACCAGTTTAATTGCCACATATTCATTTGTATATAAATTTTTCCCTTAAAAAAGAAGGAAAAAAAATGTCAAATTCTACCGGTAATTAATTCTTAAAGCTATTATTATATAAACCTGTATTGGGGGGGTGGGGGGGAGCACAAATATATTTAGAGGAACCACAGGTTTCTTCCAACTACTTAGGAAAAACCTCAATGATGATTAAATACTACAATTCAATGACACATTTACAATTTCATATGAATTCAGAGTAGAAAGTGATACTAATAAATACTTCAGCCCACTTACAAAAATGAAGTTACAATGGTTGTAATATTGTACACAACTCATAAGGTAATCAATAGTCAAACACATGCTAAACTAATTTTCAAAACCAGAACTCCTATATAAAAACAGGAATACAAAATCCCTCTCCTAATCACCACCTCATTTTAAATCCATTATTATCTAATGTAATCTTATTGGGGTTTATATGTAATACAAGTAAACAGAATACCTGGAAAAAAATCTGTAATATATTAAAAATAGAATAAAAAAGTATTATCCAATAATTAGCTCCAATAAATTAGCTAACTACTTTGAGTGAAAAAAGTTATTAGGACCTTACTGTACAACCAAATTAAATTCCAATATTTTAAGAGTTAGATATAAGGCACAAAACAAGAAAAAATATTTTTTATTTTTTAAATTTTTCAATTACAGTTGACATACAATATTGTTTCAATTGTACAACATAGTGATTATACACTTACATACCTTAGGAAGTGATCCCTCCCTAAGTCTAGTACCCATCTGAGACCATACATAGGTATTATATTATTAACTATATTCCCTTTGCTGTACTTTTATCCCCATTAATTGGCAGTTACTATTTTTATAACTGCCAATTAATACTTCCTAATCCCTTCACCTTTTTTCACCCATCACCCAACTCCCTAATCTGGCAACCATCAATTTGTTCTCTGTATCTATGAGTTTGTTTCTGTTTTGTTTGTTTATTTTGTTTTTTCCCACATGTTACTGAAATCATATGGTATTTGTCTTAATTTGACTTCTTTCACTTAGCATAATGCTTGGTCCATCCATGTTGTTGCAAATGGCAAAATTTCATTCTTTTTTATGGCTGAGTAATAATTCATAGAATATATATGTTCCATATCTTCTTTATCCATTCTTCTATCAATGGACACTGAGGTTGTTTCCATATCTTGGCTATTGTAAATAATGCTGTAATGAACACAGGGGTGCATATATCTAAAATAATGTTTATTAGCCCAATATATGGAAGTTTCCAAAGTACTAAAAAATGAAAAAAAGTAAAAGGTCTGAAGATTTTTATACAGATTTGATTACGTAAAATATTTCACATTTCTGAATGTTAAAAAAAAAACTACCATATACAAAGAACAGGTAAGTAACAAGCCACAATAAAGACTTAATATTATTATTATTATTATGTAAAGAATTCAAATAAATTATAGTAATCTTTGCAATGGTGTACTGAAAATAATCTAAAAAGGCCCAATGGGTAAGCATCCGTAGCCCAAGTAAAATACTACGGAGAATTTTAAAAACAATAAGTACATGAAGACAATTTGGTATATAAATTAATGTTTCTTTGCAAGTACAGAAAAAATAAGAAAAAGAATATGTGATTTCTGAATTTCTAGTATTTTTTTCAATAAGCATGTAATATTAAATTTATGGCAAAAAAATGTTATTTTCCTTATATTATTTTTAAAGGACAGTGTTGGGTTTTTTTACAACTGTTACAGTAAATAGCCCTGATCACATTGGCTACAGAACACAGAACAAGCAAGCATCAACTTTCACATGTGATTTTCCAGCATTAACACACCTAACTACTTTTTATAAAGCAGCTGACAAATGGCAGTAAACTTCTAAGCAAAGTTTCAGTCTCAGATATATTGCTGCTATTGTACAGTGGTGTTTGTTCATACAAATAGTATAATACTTTTCTGAGTTTTTATACCGATTTTATAAAAATATATCATAAAAAAAATTCAAACTAAGTAATATGCCTCATAAACCCATTACAGTTTGCAGAAAGATGGAACTTAATAGGAATACCAAAAGTGGCGAACATTAAGCTGTATTCAGATACTTATTGAGCCCATAAGTATTTAAAACATATACTAGAAAGCATGTTTTTAGTCAATACATTTAGCATTTATAAGCTGTGACTTCATATACATTTTCAAGAATATATTATATGCATACAATTGTAGGCTTCCCCTAGTAAGTGTCCAGTGAATAATTTAATGGTACACTAACTTAATCTTGAGGAACTGATGTCTATCAAAGGAACAATTCTATTTTAAGTTCAAAGATGGAATTTGTATTTTCTCAGAACATTATAATCTTTTCATAACTATTTTATATATAATATTTATTCACATATACATGAAAGGTAAATATTCATAAGAAATTAGATTAAATACAGATTCCATAGAACTTAACTTTACCAAAAACTTCTAGAAGTAGTTTGTGTTGCATTTACATAGTCAACTGTCTTTTATATCACAGCAAAAAGGACTAAATCCTAAAAACATCGTCTTTTCTAGAACATTAGAGACTTTGCTGAATTTTGAGGGTTATATTTATAAACATCAACAATAATTAAACAATACTACCAATGCATTTTTGTCACCTAGCATAGACATAGGTCTCACATATTTAGCTTTTAATCAGTATTTGTTATATGCATTAACAAATGATGCACAAATTGTGTGTTTGTGTGTACAGTATGAGTAACAGAGAAGTGTGTATATGTAGAGGGAATACCCTTAAGAGAAGGCTCCAAGTAGCAGATTGGTTCCAGCTAACTGGTTTTAGTCCAATTTTAAAAGATATTCCCAATAGAACTTTGTGCCATATTAAACTTGAAAAGGTGCTGTTACCAATTTTATGGTTTGTAAGTGGTAATTATAAAAAATTATGTTCTACAAAAACAATGTATATGTTTGTACCAGAAACTACTAGTTACCCACCAATATCCATGTGCCCTCTTCTATAATAGAATGCCCTCATTTTAAAATGGTTGTCCAGGCACAGTACTGGAAGTATTAGCCATTGCGATTAGACAAGAAGAAATAAAAGGCATCCAAATTGGAAAAGAAACTGTCCTTATTCGCAGATGACATGATACTGTACATAAAAAACCCTAAACACTCCATAAAAAAACTATTAGACTTAAATGAATTTGGCAATGTAGCAGGATAAAAAATTAATGCCAAGAAATCTATGGCATTTCTATACAACAATAGTGAACTTACAGAAAGAGAGACTAAAAAAGCAATCCCATTTACCATCACACCAAAAAAATTAAGCTACCTAGGAATAAATTTAACTAAAGAGGTAAAAGACCTCTACTCAGAAAACTACAGGACATTGAAAAAAGAGATAGAGGAAGACACAAACAGATGGAAGAACATACCATGTTCATGGATTGGTAGAATCAACATCATTAAAATGTCCATACTACCCAAAGCAATCTATATATTCAACGCACTCCCCATTAAATTACCAACGGCATATTTTACAGACCTAGAATGAACTCTCCAAAAATTCATCTGGACTAATAAAAGACCCGAATAGCTGCAGCAATCCTGAGAAAGAAGAACAAAGTAGGTGGGATCTCAATACCAGATATCAAGCTGTATTACAAAGCCACGGTTCTCAAAACTGCCTGGTACTGGCACAAGAACAGACATATAGATCAATGGAATAGAATAGAAAACCCAGAAATCGACCTGAACCAATATGCTCAATTAGTATTTGACAAAAGAGGCAAGAACATACAATGGAGTCAAGACAGTCTCTTCAATAAATGATGTTGGAAAAATTGGACAGATACATGCAAAAAAATGAAACCAGACCACCAACTTACACCATACACAAAAATAAACTCAAAATGGATAAAGGACTTAAATGTAAGATGGGAAACCATAAAAATACTAAAGAAATCCAAAGGCAACAAAATCTCAGACATATGCCAAAGCAATTTCTTCACTGATACAGCTCCTAGGGCATTGGAAACTAAAGAGAAAATAAACAAACAGGACTACATCAAAATAAAAAGTTTCTGCACAGCAAAAGAAACCACCAACAACAAGAAAGCCCACTGCATGGGAGAACATTTTTGCCAATGTTATCACTGATAAGGGTTTAATCTCCAACATTTATAAGGAACTCATACAACTTAACAAAAGGAAGATAAACAATCCAATCAAAAAATGGGCAAAGGACCTAAATAGACACTTTTCAAAAGAGGACATTCAGAAAGCCAAGAGACATATGAAAACATGCTCAAAGTCACTAATCATCCGAGAGATGCCAAGCAAAACGACAATGAGGTACCTTCTCACACCCATCAGAATAGCTATCATCAACAAATCAACAAACGACAAGTGCTGGAGAGGATGTGGAGAAAAAGGAACACTCATGCACTGCTGGTGGGAATGCAGACTGGTGCAGCCACTTTGGAAGACAGTATGGAGTTTCCTCAAAAAACTACAAATGGAACTCCCATTTGACCCAGTGATCCCACTTCTAGGAATATACCCCAAGAAAACAGAAACACCAATCAGAAAGGATACATGCACCCCTATGTTCATAGCAGCACAATTTACCATAGCAAAGATCTGGAAACAGCCTAAGTGCCCATCAGCAGATGAATGGATTAGAAAACTGTGGTACATCTACACGATAGAATACTATGCTGCTGTAAAAAAGAAGGAATTCTTACCATTTCAGCAGCATGGATGGAATTGGAGAGCATTATGCTAAGTGAAATAAGCCAGTCAATGAAAGAAAAATACCACATGATCTCACTCATTTCTGGATAATTAAGACCATTATAAACTGATGAACAAAAATAGATACAGAGGCAGAGCAGCATAGAATAGACTGTCAAACTACAACGGGAAGGCCAGGGAGGGTTTGGGGGGAGGCGGGTAAGAGATCAACCAAAGGACTTGTATGCATGCATATAAGCACAACCAATGGACACAAGACACTGGGG